CTTTCAGGCATGATTGGATCTACGGCTGTGAGAAGCCATCCTGTGTAGCTCGCAGAGTCATGGAGGCACGCAAACCATCACACCGCGTCAAGGTGCAGTCTCGTCGTGATGTTTAATAGACTTCATAAACAGTTATTTTACAATCAAACCGGTGGATAAAATTATGAACGTTATTATTACCGGTGAACATTATTTTGTACTTCTCCGAAGTGAACTTCACATTTCTAGTGCTGGAAGTTAAAGGTGTGAATTTAACGTCTATTTTCAGAAAACTATTTGCCCAGTGCTACCGGTAAAGATCCCGCAAGTAAGACGATGTGATGCGAAGTTCGACGGAACCACTAATTATCGCCAGGATTATCAGCCATGGGAATGCCAACCGGAAAGAATACAAGTACAGGCTATCTGGAAACCACCCGAGGTACCCTTCGATGGTACAACCACGAACAAGGTAAATAAAGCATGACATATTTTGAGATTTCCACCATATTTCATAACACGAGAAAAACCAATTAAAATCCCAAATCACGGGGATTTGGATTTGCCTGAGGAGTTGCAAAAACCTTCGATTATTCTTCTATGACCTCCTTACCGTTTCGAGGGAACAAAACGGGATGTTTACTGCAAGACCATATGGTATTCATTCGCAACTGATGCTTGAGATCAAAGCATGGTTGACGGTTACGATGATCGACTAATGACCAAACTATTCAAATGAAACCTAACCAAATAATCAGCGACCAGGCCAACCAGCGAAAGGACAAACAGTCAAATAAACAGTGGTCGAGAATGCAGAAAAAATAAATTCAAGTAGATATTACTCCACTCATTAGGTTGAATAAGTCCCGTCTACTACCAACCGAACGTTCTCTTTCTTTTTAGATGGCTCTGCCGCCGCCCGACTCACTAACACGTCTGATTTATTGAGGCCTTATATGGTTCGCCACTCAGTTTGCATACAAACAACCCCTCTATATTGGTTGCCGTTATTTATCTAGTTCAGTTAATCTGTAAGCCCCTTAAAGAGAAAGCCAAATATGCGCACTGTGCATTTTCTGACTGTTCTTCCGCTTTTGACTCCGTACTCTGTTCTCTTTGACTAAACAAGCTCCAATCATTTGGCTGTACCGCTTCTCTTCTTGAATGGCTTGCTGATTGCTTTNCCGCATCACTCAATAACTCGGGTTTACTCCAAGGTGCTGTTCTATCTTCCTATCTTTGTTCGACTTATGTCAGTCAGTGACTTACCCATTACTCCCCTTGAGCAACCCTTCAAGTGCACTGATGGTATCGTCATTTCTGTTTCCGTATTTACCCAATCAGAATATAACACAAACGTATCCCACCTCGTTTCATATTACACTTCATCCGGTCATTATGCTAGTCCCGAAAGATGCTTTGAATGTAATTTTACTCTACCATCTCTTTTCGGCAATGTACAGATTCATGAAAAGTCGATGATCAGTCACCCATGTGAAATACATATCACACTTGAAAATAACTTTCGCTGGACCTTAGATACCCAAACTGTTACTCACAAGCTGAAGGTTCCCTCTTTTCAGATAAGAACACTGTGTCATTTCTGTTCTGATTTGTCGGTGATAGACGCTTTTGTTCAACAATGTGTCCTCCCTATACCCCTTTACGTCTCCCCTGTAATTTTCCGTGGTTTACTGAAGACTGAGTTCAAGTTGCTGAGGCGTGGCCTCTCAATGATAAGCCGTCTCCCACGTTTTGTTATCTGTTCTGATTGGCAATATGATGATATGTTTGGCAATATCTCCATATAAATGCATGCTTGAAGTTTGCTGACAATATCCTATCTGATTGCACCCATCCTCTACACATTGACTTGTGTGCATGCAAATCCCGCCCATCCACCAGTTCCAGATACAAATTTATCCCGTCTCACATATCTGCATACAGAAACTCTTTGGTACCCCCATCTGGCTCGGATACTGCTCGAAAAGGAAAGTGTTCTTTCTGAGCTTTCTAGTGCATTTAGCAATTAACTTATATTTTTGTACGTTTTACGTCTCACTTTTTCACCTTTTTTTTTACCGAAATTGTAACGAAGGTCTATTTTTTGTCTGAACGTTTGTAGATAACTTGCTAAAGCTTCAAATACAACAAGTTTCAGGATCATGGTTACCGATTTCCTCCTCATAACATAAACATGACAATACGAAACCAAGCACGCTCTCGCTAGCTCTAGACACTCGCAATGCAAACACGCACTGATTGCACTCGCCGACATTCGCGGACTGAACTGCAGTACTGATTCTTTGCACTGATTTCTTCATTCTTCTCCTTTTGTCCTTTCTGTGACCGAAACACAAATCTCCCCGTCGTCAGACACCATTTACCTTCCAGTCCTCAACCACCCTTTCCATTCCTTTCTACCTAAAGCTGGTGTCTGCGCATTTATCCACCAATCAGTCGCCTCCGTGTCTTTTATTTGATGTGACTGAAGCTCCAACTTCCTTCTTTTAACTATTACTTTTCTGTTCTATATTGTTCTCGCAATAGTGGCGACTCATATATCTTTGAGGATTGAACACTTGTTTACAACCGACCCCGAATGCCATAGTACCATCTTGGGAGATTTTGAGGATGGATTTCCGGAATTGTTGACATTCATCTGCTACTTCCTCTCTGGGGCACGAAGCGGCACATTTCTCTTTGGTCAAGAAACTAAGCCAACTGTTTGATCTCAACACGTGCCTCTGATCGAACTGGCGACCGTGCCTACCCCCTCGATACAATTCTCAACTCGTCTCCTTCTTTCTTCTTAGATAATTTTACTCTTCCTCACCTGGGCTCATCAGGTCATTGTATCGTTTCTTGCTCCACCAACTTTATCAGTGCCGATCCTCTACCCTCCACGAGACATTCTGGTGTTACAACTCAGCCATCTGGGACGGCTTCCGTGGTTTCCTAGTTTCTTATCCATGGAATGCTTGCTGGTTTCCATTGGATGTTTCCGACTTTACTGGCATTGTTCTTCAACTTATGCACCTTTTTATTCCGAAAATTTTCAAGCCCGGCAAAGCCAAATCCCCGAGTGGTTTAACCACGTATGTAATCCTGCCCGTAAGTCTAAAACACTCAGTCACTCCAACGGCCACCATCGTTTGGTACAAGCTAGGAACCGACAATTGACAACCATTCAGAGAACCCAATGACGCTTGGTTCGCTGTAAAGTCGGAAACTTTGTCTCGTCCGCCACATGTAACCAAAATTTGCGGTCGCTTGTCAAAGCGATTTTCCGTAATTGCTGCCTTTCTAATTATTTCCTTCCCATCCCGCACACAGGTATCTAGTCATCTTTATCAGATTTCTGTCACTAAATGTTGTACTCCTCTGCTCTCATCACCTTTTCTTCAGCGTACTGTCAAATTTACTTTGAGAATGGCTGTCACGAGTGACTTATAACTTGGCAGTTTTGTATTGTTTACCCTAGGTTCACAGAGATGAAATGCGACTGGGTCTTATGCTCTTTATGGTGAGACACAGTGACAAAGATTGGTACATTAGTTGGCCACTATGACTGATCCAATCAGGTGCACTTGAGCGGCGCGGCTTGAAATTGTGAAGTCGATTGTTTCTAATCCACATTGCCGCACATAATGTCTGCTCACCACTAGTCACCCGTGTCCCTCTCGAGGAAACTACTGACACTGTGCTCCCGAGGGAAAGCACAATTCGGTTTCAATGGGTACTCATAAAGATGGGAAACAGACTAGGATCAATGCTACAGTTTAAACTAAACAATCTCATAAAAAGAACCATTTTTCTACAGGCTTCGTTTTGACGACACCTTTACTGTAGTCAAAAACGAGGATGATGCACCAAGACGATTGCAAAATTTAAACCGTTGTNTTGCAAAATTTAAACCGTTGTCATTCCAACATACAGTTCAGGTTAGAACATAACGCAGTCATCCTTGTAAGCCCTGATCGTTAAATTCACGTGAATGGAAGATGGATTTTTCATCAGTTTATAAGAAAGTAAGACATTATGACAGAAATTGGAATTAGAAAAGACAAAATGAATATCATTCTCGTCAAATTATCTTCGAAACTAACACAGCGTCATTTAACATAAGCTTTTCCAAGAATTATTCTCCCTCAAAGCAGACGAATGATCACTGAATTCCATGTGGACAAGGTAGACTCTGAAGTTACCTTTTACAATGCAAGCAAGCACATTCAGATCTCAGAACAAGTCCCGAGAAATTCAGTGCTGACTGGTTCGAACATTCCCTCCGGTTTCATTATCCATCGGTCACTAGATTGTAAAATTCGTGTCGAGCCCAGAACAGATATTTCGTGCATCAAACCGATAGAAAACTGGTCAGTTGTTATGGTTTACCGGGGGCGTTAGCAATGCTATGACACAAACCAGGCTTGTGAAAACAATTGGACTTTGTGACCTGTTATGACAGAGTATCCATCGTAATCCAGACCAGCAATTGTGCTCTCCCACTCCCACTCTCTTGCAAATCCAAGTCCGCCTGGTGACTTTTGAACTTCACATTGTATTTGCCTAGTCAAGTGTTTTTGGTTTTTAGACGTCTTGTCATTCTTCCAATCCAACTCTCACGGTAACAGAATTGGGAAGATAGCGGGAAACACATGGATGCGCGTTTTTGATCGTATGAAATTGATGGAAGAAAGAAACGATGTGTACACCCACGAGTTCGGTAATTGTGCACATTCTGCTCGGATGATGTTTGTGTTCTCTCTGCAGTATAAAGTTATTGGCCTCACCAAAACTCTCAATTTCTCACTCCCATAACAGGCCAATTTTGTGCCTCACGAGTGTGTGAGTGTGCCTGAACTCATCAAACCACCACCGTGCTTAGTCCAGACTGGCCCGTTCGATGATCGTACCAATTACCGAACCGATTTTGTCCCCAAGGAGGTTTGTCTATGTTGTCCGGCCGGATTTTTACCAACAAACGATATCAGTCCAGATGGCTATATGTTTGAAGTGAGTTTGCTGGAAGTGTTTCAGTCCTACTGTTCATCAACATTTTAATTGAAGCTCGTTCACCCTCCTATCGTAAACTGCAACACAAATATCGCAAATATGTTGGTGGAACTGTCTATCTCAATGGGACCCCAGGGGTGAAACATGTGTTGTTGAAAACTAATACACCAAATCTGACAAGAATAATGAAAGCAAAATTCGCAAAACCAGTTTCTTAGGGTCTATAGCGGGTTTTTACGAAAATCGATATTTGTGTTCTTGCAAAACAGTACATAGATGACTAACAGAGGGAGAGAACAAAAAAAAACAGAATACAGACTAAAGATTATAGTCACTCCGTGTCCTCTGTAATCCAAATTTAGAATGTCATCTTATGAACATATCGTGATTCGCCGTTTCATGGTGTGAAGTATTTTGAAGAAAAAAATTGACACTACCGGATATTAGAATTGCGGATTTGAAACTAAAGAAAACTCAATGTTTTGCGATAAACTTACGCGTTACGGTTCACTGACTGGTAAAACACCAACAGACGACGATGATTCTGATTGATCAATCGTTTTTGTTGAAGTTATGAGTTGTGGAACGTTCATTAGCCTTGATGGGATTCGAATCCACGCATCGACGCCGTCTATCAATCTCTCATTCTTTCATGTTTCCTTTTTTTTTGACTGCACATCGGTTTATCCAGGGACAGATGGGGTTTCTGATCGGTATGGTTTTGGAAAAAGGTCTGTCACACCCCCGTAAAATTCGTATTGTAGATCTTCAATAGACATCAGTACTAATGCTCACAATTTAGAAGTGCTTCATTTCGGTGTGCCCAAAAACAATTTGTGCAGGCCCTCAAGCTCCCCTTGCCCACCCCATATTCCGAGTGGTTCCAACGATCGGATAACCTAACAATTATGTGAACATTGAGAATTCCATATCCGGTCTCAAGATGAACTTAGCCCCGGATAACCTATGAGGTTATTTTCCCTTTCCCGAAACATTTGTTTGCGTTTTTATGGTTAAATACTGATTTATATATAAACGTAATATTTATTGTGTAATTGGTATGACTACGAATCACTGAAAACGAGCTTGTTCTATTTGAAATGTGCTCTGTGGGACTATTTAGACAAGTCGCTGTTTGATCACTCCAAGTATTATGGTAAGGAAATAGCTTATTCCGATTTCTGATAAACGTCCCGCAAAACTTGTTCCCTTAAATCTGATTTCCCTATGGTGAAAGTAGCAATGCAGCAAGGTACCTACGAAGACTCGTTTGCAGTATTCAATATTCACAAATTCAAAATATCAGAATACAGTGAACCTCAAAAAATTACAGCCTTCCACAAAATTAACTATTTGGTTTTCCATCTTATTTTCTATTCCAGCGTATCGATGAACGGGGTCATCAGCTCTATAAAAACGTGGGTACTGGAAAGAACACATTACCTTCGGTGTCAGTGAAGCAGTAAAAGTCACAACGATTTGGTCTTGCAATGTAACACAGAACTGAGGTTGAGATAACAGTTTTTGAGCGCGTCTCACGGAAAAAGCTTCATGACTTTATTTACTACTTGTTTCACGGTGAACAAACAATTAGGGCTCAAGCATTTTGATAACCATTCCACCCGCAAATGACTGGTTGTACAAGTTTGAACCCATTAACCAGATGCTTCCATTGCCAGTTTGCATCCAATCGTTTCCTCTCACCAACTATCATTTGCAAGACCAACTTCATTCATTCATAGTACTGCGTGCGTGTGTGACTCGGACTAGTTCACGCAGATGAACGTTTTACTTTTCAAGTCATTCATCCAAAGTTGCACTGTCTTTGAATAAACTAAAAGGCACACCAAGACTAAAACAAGTAAAACGAATATAATTTATTTGAACACCGGGTTGGTCATTGACAGATGAGGAAACCCCTGTTATCAATCCTCGTGCAGGGATCGTTCTTACAGGATTATTGATCCTCAAATAGCGAATCACAGAAAGCTCTAGTGGTTATACGGTGACAATGTCCGGAGTGGCGGTTAGGAAAACTACCTAAACATTTGACTCATGTAGGTTGCGCCTCAAACAACAAGTATTACATGAGTGGAGAACACCTATCACTGAATCATCATAAATATTATCAGATGCAGATAATGATAAGGCTAGTAATTGTGATGTATCAAGATACTGAGGATACTGAAGTTTCATTTTATTGTTTTTAACAACTGGATTTTACGTTGTTTTTTGGTAATACTTGCGAAAAAATCAACTTCCGATAAACTCCGTGCAGGATAGACATATTCTTGTCTAGAAACGATCATACTCAGAAAAGCCAAATTTTGGTACCCACCATTGCCGTAAACTTGGTTCATTATATCTGGTACAGAACAAGATTGATCAACTCCGAAAAATACCCAATCCATTATAGCAGCTGCAGTAGTCGAGATACTCAAGAAGCCTCGAATACAACGACGATCGAGGCATCCGATCTGGCATGTGCCGTGCAACTTCATGAGTGTGTGACAGACACACAAGCCTGGTGAGTGCCTGAAAGTATAATCAACTTGTTTTACGGTGTCCGTCATCCGAATGCATCACAAAAGGTGTCGGATAAGACACGACAAATTTAGTGCCGCTATGGTTACGAGATCCAATCTCGGTGTCCAGAATGTTAATGGGATTTCCGTACTAAACTGTAGAACTCTCCCTCACGTATGTTCAAGTCAGTTGAAAACACCGGGTGAGCAATGAAGCGACTCATCATTGTGACTGGTCAACGACTGGTGCCATCAAAATTTTTCCATTCCTT